AGGAAAATCACCAGCAGAAAAGCCAAAAAGAAGTAAAACTATCCCTTCCTTCTCTGTCTCTTTGTTTCTCTCTCTCTCCAGCTCACTTGCTTTCTCTCTATCTCTTACCAAGAAGCAGTGATTTCAAACTCTATACACACAAGGTATAGAGTTTCAGCTAAAATTAAGCTAACTTATTTTTTTTTAACCTTTTAATTGCTCAGTCTTTACATAGGCCTTAAATCTATATCTAAGAGAGCACTGGATACTTTGGATTGTATAGGGAACTTTATTAAGAGCTATCTTTAAGATCAAAAGTTGAGCTGATCAAGAGACAACAAAACCCCTGGTGTTTAATATACCTAAATAAAGACATTAACTTCTCCATAACTGAAAATGGCAATTAAGGCCAAATGGAAATGGTAACACCTCAAATATACCATCTTTCTAATAATTAAAGATAAGTTTGACAAAAGTTGATTCATTCATTTGTCATTCAAAATCTTGCTTAAATTAGGAAGTTGCACAAAAAGTCTTACCCAAGTACTTGCTATGTCTCTACTGATATTTCCATTCAGAAAAGAGTGGAAAAAAAGCTGAATTTTGGCCTTTCTTGTCCTTATTGTTTTAGCAAAGTCAGCGGTCATCATATTTACGAAAGCAGAATCCCACACTGGTAAACTCTGGAATGAATAATCCTAACCCACATCTTTTTCCTTAGTTTGCTTTAATGTCTCGCCCTCTGAATATTGAAGCAAAGTTATAACAATATTCCTTTTTAAAGAGCAAATTTTTCCCCATGAGCTGAAGGAATCTACAATTCTACTCCTTTATTGTCCTGTCTAAAGCAATGTGCATTCTAACCTCATAACTTTGCTTGTGGTAAGTTTAAACTTTTCTATGATAAGTTTCTTCAGAAGAGTTGCATGATCTCTTTCAGCTGCCACAGCTTTACAAAAGAAAACATTCTACTGAATTTAAAATCTTATAAATATGTAAACTATTTTTATGATTTCTATTCGATGTTTTTCTGTTACATCTCATTGGTCAGAACCACAACAAAGTAAATACACACATACACATATCTATTCATTTAATAGTGTAATACTTTTAATATTTTATTTGCAAAGTAGTTTTATCATTTAGTTTAAGTACTCTATTACTTGTACTTACAGTGCCTTTCAGTTTGAAGCATTTTATTTCCATCAATATTATTAAATATTCTATTTAATGCTAAATATTCTATTTATACATCTTATTTAGATATCTCTATAGCTAAACTTGAATTTCATAAAAATTACAAATATATAAAGTTAAAGACTGTAATAAATATATTACTATTCCACAATAGTTCTTGAAAAGTATTCAATTCCTATACCTTTGTTCTGAAAAACTATAGCAGGATTGGGGAAAAAATTGCGAATGATAGCTTTTCTATAATAGTCAACATTTTAAAAATATTATAGTCTATATCATGCATAGGCAACATTTCTTGTTTTAAGATGCATGCTAGTTGTGTGCCTGGATTCAGGAAAGAATATTCACATATATTTCTTGAGCATACTATTCTTTTTGTAGCAAGATTGTAGAAACCCTGACAATATTACTGATAAAAAGAGGGATCAAGCGGCAGTGGAAAAACTCAGACAAATTTTTACAGGCCTCCAAAAACTGCATCAAGACATGAAGATTTCTTGAAACTTGCATGGTAACTGCAGGCAGTATGTCTATATAAAATTGTGAGTTGACAATTTGCATACCAGGAGCATTGATACTTTAATGTAATCTGTTCTCATTATGTGCTACTTAGATTCTTATAGTCTAACACAGAGAGGAAATCTATGGCCTCCGGATATTTTTGGATGACACATCTCATGAACTCTAACTTTTAGTTATGCTGGCTAGTTTTGACAGGAATTAAGTTCAACAATATCTGCAGGGATGTGGATAATCTTCCTCTGTTCTTGTAGATGCTTTTGATAACCAAGGAATTTACTTTTTGCAGGTTTGTGGACTTTTCTATAGAGCTGTGTTAGCAAACCTATGTCACACATGCCAGAAGTGGCACACAAGCCATTTCCCCCAGCACATGAGAGGTCACCTGGAAGAGCCCCACTGCGCATGTGTACGTGCTGCCGCCTGACAGCTGATTATCAGGTATCTGGTGCACATGCTCAGGTGGCAGAGGGGGATGCGCAGGAGACACACGCGCATGCCCAGAGACATGCTGTGCATGAGGGGATCATGCATGGATGTGCAGGCACCACAGCACATGAGGGGGGTTCATGTGCCCATGCACAGGGCGGTATGGAGGGTCCCAGCACACATTGCCTTCTGGGTGCTGGCATGTGAGCGTGCAAGAGCACTCGTGCAATAATCGGCATGGGAGTCAAAAAAGGTTAGCCACCACTGCTATAGAGCATACACTGAAATTCTAAGATTATCCTCAAATTTTACTTTGATTCAAATAAAACTGAAGTTCTGTTTAAATGTAACCTTCCATGCTTTTCTCATGAATCATACAAGTAAGGGGATAACATATAGGCCTTTCTTGGCATAGAAAGGTGAATGAATTGTGTGAGTTTTGTAAATTTTAAAATCCTCATCTGAACTTTAATGTTCAAAACAACTGATACAAAAATATTCTGAAATAGTAACTGAAAAACAATAGTATAAAACATTGATGCATAGCTTTTTTAAAAATAGCATCAATGATTTTGAGCCTCAAGCATTTTGTTTCTGATAAATGCCAACCAGTGCAAATGAATGATTATCCTGTCAATCCAGTGCAAAGTTTCTGATATTTGTTGCTTAACTTCAGAATGAAAAATAGGACCTGTCTTTAGAAGGTTTCACCTATCTCTTAGAAATGATGTCTGGGATTACAGTAGTTGAAGTTCAACATATGAAGGAGATTGACATAATGGAGAAGGTTGCTTTAGACAGTCATGTGTTCCAAGTGTGAGAAAAAGTTATAGAATTCTTCGTTGAATTGCTTCTGTCATATCCTCATCTATCTTAGGTTTCTGTTGCCGGAAAGAAATACAACACAAACTCATAAGATCACTGCAAATAAGCAACCCATACGCTCCATAGAGAAATTGATCAAGGCTACAATGGCCAATACTGAAAAACCCTGAGATCTGTAGTTGAGCAAATAGATGATCACCAATGTTTTACGGTGAGTTAGAAATGGGTGGAGAACATATATAATGGATTATTTTTTTGATAGCATTCAAAAGGTTTATAATTTAAGGACATTGCATTAAATACAGCTAAATGAAATGACATTTGTATGTTGTCTTTATTTTGTATCGATCTTGCTACTCTTTTATATGCATGCATGCTTTTATATGCATGCAACATTTGAACTAATCTTTATTCTTACCAGTGCACATCACAACTTTTATTTTACATCCATTGATTCGCCTGTTCTCTGGAAATTCATAGCGACTTACATAGGGAGTTTCAATTCATGTTTCCTACCATTATAAAGCTGTGAAAGTGGATGTATTTAGGAGAGAAGAAGCTAATGTCAGTCAGTAAGTTTCCATAAATGAGGATATATCAGCAACTGAATATCAGTCTGCCCATGAAATAATGTTCACTTTCTTCTGGAAGAGGGACATTTCAAAGATAGTTCAATTGTTTCCTGAAAATAAATCTTTTGATGCAGGAATCAATTCAAAGTGTTCTGGAGCCAAACTACAACTGGAACACTGAAAACTATTTTCTGTTCCAAAAAAAATCTATTAGACCTTCCCTGGAGTCAGTAGATTAGAAACTGAGGTGACACAGTGTTCAGAGTACAGTATTGCATGTTAACTCTATCCACAGCCAGGAGTTTGATCCTGACTGACTCAAGGATGAAGCACCCATCGATTCTTCCAAGTCAGTAAAATGATTTTGAATATTGGGGCAATAGATTTTGGGGGGGCAATCTGCAGACTCTGTAAACTGCTTAGAAAGTGCTGTAAAGCACTATGAGATGTCATAGAAGTCTAATTGCTATTTCTATTGGTAGATTAGTGCACAATTGAGAAAATTTTTTGAATATCCCTTATAACATCATTAAAAGAACTGGATATATTTATTTCATTTCTTGAATTTTATTTTTTCCTCACATATATTTTATGTTATAATTATACTACAATCTATAATTAGGGAACATGCAACCTGTACACCTGCTCTCTCCATATTTAAAGACAGTCTGTCAATTGAATAATCATTGAATGTCTATTTTTCTAAATGTAAAGATGTACATCCTTTATATTTAACATCTACTAGCTTGACATTTTATATTTCATAATAAATGAACAGTACAATTACCATAAATATCTATTTATATTGTTTGGACAGTTATCAGGGGAGTATTATCATAACCTTGAAAAAGGAATGAAAGAGCAATTAAATAAACATCAGCTGATCCCTGAATAAGAAAAAGGGGTCAGAAAGATGCTCAAGATAACCTCCCTGAATTCTTTTTTAGTCTAAGAACAACCAGGGGAAATGCTGTCAGGCTTTTCATATTCTGTTAATATATCCTACAACAATAAAACAGAATTCTAGTAGTTTTTTCACTGTATGTTTTTAATCTAATCTGGCACAATTTAAGACACTGATAGTTACATTACCCACAATAAAAGAAAACATGGATGTAACCGAAAATATTTTTTAAACATGGAAAAAGGGAAAACCAATAACAGTAGTATACCACATTCATTTTGCCATAAATTATCAATACAAATAAAAATAGAGAAAAATATTGCATATATTGAAGTATAGATAATTAAATTCTTAATATCTTAATATCTTAATAGATATTAAGATAAGCATTTTGATTTTCCTTCATTAAAAACAGGAAAAAGAACTGTACTCATCACTTTTTGTCAATGAAGGTTTGTTTTGTTTTGATTCTTTAACAAAGAGGATTTCCCCATAGTATTAAATTATTTCCTATCTCATTTTTATAACTGGGAGGCAATTCTCTGATAAAAATATACCAAGATATGTAGACATACCTGAATAAAGATATATTCATCCTGGACAACAAGTGAACTTGTATCAATAGAGTGCAAAAAAGGTCCATTCCTGGTAGTCTCTGAACATTCTTGAATTCTACAAGTTATATAATGGGCATCTGTATGGGAAAGATAAGCTTGTATGAAAAAATGTTGACCAACAGTTTGTAATGGATTAAGTAAAGCAAATATTCATCTTTTGCCATGGCTCTCCAGCAATTAGATAGTTATTAAAAAGGTAATTTTTTAATCTAGAATTTATGGAAATATCCACCATATGTTATCCATAGTTCATCTGTTACAATATAAAAACTTTTTTTTCTACAATAAGAATCTGTTTAGCTGAGATTCATAAAATGTGACTCAAAGGTTTAAGCACTGAACTGACAGAGACTAAATTCAATTTGCATTTGTTATCAAAGATATATGAAATATTTGATACTTCATAGGAAATGTATCATTCTGACATATTTTTACTAATCCAATATATTCCAAAAGGATACCTCCTCAAGTTTCACAAGAACATAGGACAAATTCTACTTCTTCAGACTTCCTTTTCATCTTTTTTCCTCATTTAAGCTTATATCCTTATCTCATCTATTCATGTAAGAATATATATCTGCATTTATTTTGTAAATATAGTATAATGAAACAGCATGTAAACACCTATCCAGTTGGTCATGCAAGCATCCAGCTACTGTCATAAAAGCAATCTAGCACCCATTTCCTAGTGCAAATACAACATGTGGATCTGCAGGAAACAACAAATGAAGGAATAAAAATTGAATGAAAAAACATTGAAAGATTGAATGAAAAAACATTGAAAGATTGAATGAAAAAACAGATTCCATTAAGTAAGCAGGATTGCCTGATTTATATTTTATAGTATTTATAATATTTGAAAAGTTAAGGAATCAACAAATGAACAGGTAAACATGTGGAAAACTCTTAAAAACATCACTGGCTACAGCAAACCTCCTTCCCAGGCAGAAGGAAATCAACAACTAGCAGATGACCTGAATGTGTTTTACTGCAGGTTTGAAGGAAACTACAGCCACCTGTCTCCACAACCCCCATCTCAAACACACCAACAACAGCCAAGCCTCCTACAACTGACCCCAACCCATTGGGTTTACAACCTCTGGTGATCACATAAAAAGAAGTGCAAGATGTATTTCACAGACAAAAGCCAGGAAAAGCACCAGGGCTAGACAAGATAACTCCTTCTGGTTTAAAAGTCTGTAGTGACCAATTGGCCCCATCTTCACCTGAATCTTTAATAAATCACTAGAGATGTGCCATGTTTCTTCTTGCTTCAAATACTCTGAACTGAATGACTACAGACCAGGTGCTCTAACATCTGTAGTTATGAAAAGGCTAGTGCTGTCCCATCTGAAAGGCTAGTGCTGTCTCACTGAAAATCATCACGGAACTTCTGTTAGATCCCATGCAGTTTGCATATGGAGCAAATAGATTGATAGGTGATGCTGTAGGCTTTGCACTACATCCTACAATACCTTGAATCTCCAAATACCTATTCCATGGGTCCTCTTTGTAGACTTCAGCTCAGCATTCCATACCATCATTCTAAACATTCTTCTAATTAAACTAAACTAAATTTGTTAATGGCACCTGAACACATTTGTAAATGGATCAGAAGCTTCCTAACAGATAGGTAGCAGTAGGTGAAGCTAGGCAGAAGCACATCTGATACCCGTACAATTAGCATAGCCCCGCCCCTCCAAGGCTTTGTGCTTTCTCCACTTCTCTTTTCCCTATATACTAATGACTGCATCTCAAATGATCCATCTGTTAAAATGCTGAAGTTTGCAGATGATACAATAGTGATTGGTCTCATTTGAGACAATGACAAATCTGCATACAGATGAGAGATTGTACAATTTGCCTCATGGTGTAACTGGAACAATCTGGAACTGAAGACACTCAAAACCATAGAAATGGTGGTAGACTTTAGGAGAAATCCTACCATACTACCACCTCTTACAATACTAGACAACACAGTATCAACAGTAGAAACCTTCAAATTTCTAGGTTCTATCATATTACAAGACCTAAAATGGGCACCTAATATCAAAAACGTCATCAAAAAAGCACAACAAAGAATGTTCTTTCTGTGCCAACTCAGAAAGCTCAAACAACCCAAGAAGCTGCTGATATAGTTCTACAGAGGAATTATTGAGCCTGTCATCTGCACCTCTATAACTGTCTGGTTTGGTTCTGCAATCCAACAAGACAGACACAGACTTCAGAGCATAATTAGGACTGCAGAAAAAACAATTACTACCAACCTGCCTTCAATCAAGGACCTGTATACTGCACGAGTCAAAAAGAAAGCTGTGAAAATATTTACAGACCCCTCACATCCCAGACACAAACTGTTTCAACTCCTACCCTCAAAATGATACTATAGAGCACTGCACACCAGAACAACTAGACACAAGGACAGTTTTTTCCTGAACGCCATCACTCTCCTAAACAAATAATTCCCTCAACACTGTCCAACTATTTACAAAGTCTGCACTACTATTACTATTAATCTTCTCATCAGTCCTTATCACCCATCTCCTCCCACTTGTGACTGTATGACTGTAACTTTGTCACTTGTATCCTTACAATTTATATTGACTGTTTCCTAGTATGATTTGATTGCTTATTGTACCCTATGATTATTATTAAATGTTGTACTTTATGCTTCTTGACTCTTGACGAATGTATCTTTTCTTTTATGTACACTGAGAGCATTTACACCAAGACAAATTCCTTGTGTGCCCAATTACACTTGGCCAATAAAGAATTATATTCTATTCTATTTAATATTTATATCATTTATAAATAATATGTAAATTTTAACATTAATTTATAACATAAATTACTTTATATTGTGGAGAGTATTTCAGTTCTAACATGGAAGAAATAATGTCAAAGTGAGATGAATGGGTCAATTTTCTGTAAAACATGTCCTGTATTTCCATTTCAAGCAATTTTTTTATTAAGTCATTAAATCATAATTAAGATTTTTGTAGAACCTTCCCAGCTTACATATGTAATATATGTCATGAGATCTAAATAACTTAATGGGAGGAAGGAATTCTTTTTGCCCGTGCCCAAGTTTTGAACTTCATCTGACTACTCTTTAGAATTTGGACTTTTTAACCAGTCTTATTTTTCTGTAATGCCTACACAGTAGTCACATTCTACTCACATTGCAGGAACCTTGAATTTAGATCAGGGGTGTCAAACTCAAGGCTTGCAGGCCATTTTTCCCATGGGGCCAGCCTGGAAATATCAAGGGACTAGCCCACAGTGTCCTTCATGCTTCATTTTCATCTTCCATGGCCTCCTGCACCATTCTACTGGCTGAAACCAGCCTAAAAATGGGCTCAAAATGGGTTGAAAAATAGGCCAAAAAACAGGCCCAAAATGGTCAAAAAACAGCCCCCCAAATGGACTGAAATAGGCAAAAAATGAAGGCAGGGGTTCAGCCCCCTCCATATTTTGCCTTCCTGAGCTCCAAAGGAGACTTCTGGAAGCAAAAACGCCCCCCAGATGCTCCTCTGAGGCCAGGTAGGTCCCTAATTGGAACATGAAGAGGTGCTGCGTGCCACTCCCATGCTCTATTTTTTTTTCTTCCTGCGCCCCATAGGAGCCTTCTGAGAACAAAAACTCCCCCCTAGAGGCTCCTTTGAGGCCCAGAAGGCCCCAAAAATGGGTGGGTGAGGGTGGCTGCAAAAAAGCAAAAACAAAACAAAACCCAAAACCCATGCCATGCCTATCCAGTCACATGGCCACACCCATCTAACCACGCCCACAGAACCAGTAGTATTTTTTTTAAATCCCATCACTGTAGAGCTGCCAGAAGTCAAGAACATCTTAAGACAAAAGGGGTGACTTGGGAGTAAAGCTTGGAGGTGGTTGGCCCTCTGATAAGACATAAAGGCGTAGCAAAGGGATATGAACCTTTGTGGGAAGCAACTTTGTTCGTATTGGTCAGTTTGAAACCTGAAGTTCCGTGTTGATTTTGGGCTCCATTTGACCTTGTACAACTAATTGGCAATTTAGTTGTTGGCAGCATTTTAAAAAAAGATAAAGGTGCATGCTTATCAGACTTATCCCAAGGACTTTGGCAGACTTCTGCAGGATTATTTATGAACTGTGTGAGACTCATTATGGGCTATGAATGACTAGAATTCACAGCTGTTGAAATAAAACAAAAGGTTTTTGCGATTAACATGTGTTTGTTAATGTATCAGGAAGCCTTGGTCAGAAGAGTAAGTATCGAAGCCTTTCTTGGACACCTGGGTCCTTCCACCTCCAGCATCTAGGCAGTTGAACTAGTCATTGAAAGTTGATTACTACCTGCATTTTTTGTCATGTCAGAAAAACTTGCCAAACTGGCAGAAGAAAAAGGGAAAAGCAAAAGGCAGGTGAAAGAAAGAAAAAAAAAATTGCAAAAACTTAGAGAAGCTTTGACGGAATTGATAGGCTTATAAGCAAGGCAGGACTAAAAATAGGATATTGCCTCTTGGAGGAGGCAACATTGGAATGTTTTCTAATCTGTCTCCAGAGCAAATGCATGGTACAATAATCATACTCTGCTCTTAGAAAATACATGCATTGCATTAATGAAATTATGAGCCAATAAAAATACTAGGGAAAATACCAGTACCTCTAATGGAAAATAAAAATAACTGAGCGAGATAAAATAACCTTGTCCTAACATTTGGATGCCATTCAAATGCCTTTTAAGTTTTTAGATTATATAATTATCTGTTTCAACTCTTGTGTCTGTTAACATTAGCGAGGAAAAACAAGAAGGCATAATTTATTATTTAAGATATAATAAATAATACATTTATCGTTCTAAGGAAATATATTCTGCTGTGAGAGAAGAACTTTAATTCTATTTTATTTGAAAAACAGGGAGAAAAAGAACTTTCAGCAGTCCCTATGAGGGCACCCAAGATTTTGGTTAAAGCATTTTCTTTTGATAATTCTTTGCCAGTTTGGAAGCAGCTTTGGATATGAGCATTGTTGAGTAGCTGGGTTGATTTATTTCCAGGTCACATATGTAGTGGAAACCTTTTGTTTTCATACACTTAATTTCCAATATTTTCATTATACTTGTTTTTGAATTTGTTTCATTTTCTCTTAGTCTTCCTTAAATCATGTTGTCCAGACTCAGGTCTTCCACTTTTTGTAAGGAGAGGTAATGAGGGAATTTTTGTTGCTGCCAGATATGCAGATGTTGAAGATACAGCAGTAATTTTTATTCTTTTTTTTTTCAGCCTAGTCCAAATAGTCAGTGTAAAACCACAATGCCACATCATACGTTTTTAGAAATTTAACCAGTTAAGAGACTGGCATGTTAGCCTCACTTGATACATGAAGGTTTTGCTTTTTAATATTAATTAACCTAACTAAATTATTTTTTCTATCTCAGGAGATTTTTTTTTCTGTTTGTTCAGTTGTGTCCAATTTTTGAAAAAAGTTCTCGCAATTTTCTTAGCAAGATTTACCTAGGCTGAAAGTGACTGGCCCAGGGTTGCACAGATGGTTTATGCCTAAAGTGGGACTAAAACTCAGGATCTCATGGTTTCTAGCATATTGCCTTATCCACTAGATTTCTCTGATTAAGAATCTTTCTGCTCATTGTTATATGGAACTGACCTGGACAAATATTAAAGGGACCTATCTGAGTCAGTTTCTGGGACCCATTCTCAGGGAACTTCTCTCTTACCAGAAAGCTTGGAAGACTAAATCTCCTCGATAACTGACCCAAATTGGATCTTGAAACATCTACCGTCCTTCATGACAAATATTAAAGTTCAATGGGTTACTGTGAATACAGACTGAATAAAAGTGACAAACCAAGTACAAAATAAATATTTCAAAACAATTTGATGATACAGGCAGAATGAATGAAGATACAATTGAAAAATAAATAAGAAAGATGAATGAATTTTCCAAGAGGAAGATTCTGTCAAAATATCATGGCTATAAATATTGAGGAAATCTCAAAAGAGAGTTCTGAGAAGTTTATAGGATCAAATTCATATATCGATATGTTACAAACAAAAATGGTTTCAAAGTATGGAAATATATAGGCAATAGTGTTGCCATAAAGTAGATTTGTTAGCATTGATTATATTTGCTTGTGTGCTACTAAAAAGAAAAGGCTTGGCATGACTAACAATGTTAAGCCCAAAAAAATCCAATACTATAAAACTGCAAATTACATATTTTAAAAAGTTAGTTATTTTTTTTTTTTAAAGATAAAAAAACTGGAAACGTGCTAATATCATATACCACAAACACCTTCTTCCAGCCAGCTGGAAAAATGTGTGTTTATCATTTTCCTGAAGCTCAAGGAGGACAAAGTTGACCAGATACATACTGGGGTAGTTATTAAATTTGCCATATGAATCCATCACAACTCTTGATAACATAAAATATGAAAATATAATAGGATATTTTAATATAAATTGATGGAATGAATAAACATCATGTCCTAGATTAGCTGCACATGATGTTTACAATAACTAGCATTACTTAATTAGGGATTTCCAGTTACCTCCAAATAATCTGGCCTTTCAAGAAGTTTGAAGACAATGTTGATATGTATTGTATTTCCATTTAAATTGAGGCTATTATTTCAAGTTTACATATATACATATAGATTAGCAATTGTGACATTATGCAAATCTGTATTCTGTTTTGTATTCTCTCTGACTCTCTTGCAATACATAAGAGGCTTAGAAAGCAGAATAAAGGTGCAAAGCCTACTTGTAATTCTATACTATTCTTTGGTAACAAATGTTAGTAAGAGCATTCCCCTATATAAAAACATATTCACTCCAATTGTTTTCTCTAGAAATAAATGAAATGAAATCTATTTTTGTATAAATATTCTTTGTATAAATGTGTGCTAATTTTTATGTATTTTATTTTAAAATTTGTTTATCACCCATCTCACTGCAAGGTGAAATGATAAGATAGAAGTCTTAAAAAACTACTAATTAAAAATGGGAAACTAGCTCTTGGGAATGGTTTAAAAATCCCAGTTTCTTCTAGCTCTTCATCCCTAACAAATTCTAATTGGGGCATTTAAATGACACACAGAACAAAAACCAAATAGCTATTAAATTCTCATTCTAGCAAACAAATGAAAATGCTCTTATTGGTTTCTTGTCCCAGCAAGTACAACAAATTTACCCATATGGTTTGTTTATGAACCAGGGACTCTGGTTTGCTCCTCTTTAAACCAGCTTGGGATAGAAGCCAAGAGTGCCATTTATGTATATGGAGGAGGCAAGACAGGGAGACTTGGAGATACATAATTGTTCTAGCATATTATTTTTGTCTTTGTTTATTGTTTGTTTATTTCCCCTTTATTTACTGCCTCTAATAAGTTTGTGTTCCCTTTCTATTTCTTTCCACAGAAATTAAAGTTGCAGAAGTATATTCTCTTGATACCTAGGTTGGGAACATATAGCAAAGGGAGCTTGGGGACTCACATTTTCCCTATCAATTTTCCCTATCAAAATCAAAAAACAAAACCAAGTAAAATGAAATTGAATCTCTTCTTCTCTGCTTGATAGACTTGGTGCTGAGACACTCACGTCCATCTGGTGTCCGAGCCTCCATATGCACAAGGTCAGGCTCCTTATCTAAATCCGTGACAGACCTGAGAGAAAAGAAGAAGAAGCAGAAAAGAAACAAATCAATCTGTGCAGCAGAATGCATAATAACAGGCAAAGGTGAAGCTGGATTGAGAAATGAAAAGTGGAGAAAAAACACTGGCATCTCATTTTAAACAACTCAACCTAAAATTGGGATTGATTCAATGCATGCAAAAGAAAACAACAAACATGGACCTAATAATAATTTAGTTTAAAAAGCACATCAAATTAGCAGAGAAGAAATTTTCATTATATTTAATTTACTTTTAACAACCTTCATGTACAATTTACATTCAAATGTCTGAAAATGTTTGTTAGTAAAGCAGGAAGAAGAACTAGTTGTTGAGTATAACTTCTAGGGCTGGAATATGTATTGTAAATAATGCCCCAAAAGACTTTTTGTCTGCTTCAGTTATGATCCTGGATGACACAAAGCATGCTAATAAATTGGTCTTCACATTTCATACTATGAGAATACTGCTTGGTGTAAAATGATCTGCCATGGTAATATTGTATCAATGTTTTGGGGAAGACCAAGAAAAAGATCCAGCAAGGATTCTAAAAACTGCTATTTTATTATGACAGTATATAATAACAACAACAGAATTTTGAAAGCCTGTCTAGATTTGTCTCTGTCCATATTATACTATTTGAATTTCTTTCTCATGCTTGCTTCAGTCTTTGGATCATGTCATCCATTGTCCATTCCCTTTCTTAACAGTTTGTTCTTGCTTTTCCCAAGGTTAGCTTTAAGTTCTTTTATATCTTAAAATCCATTTGTATTTATTGTATTCATGAATTAAATATTATCCCTTTTTTCTCCAAGAGATCAAGGTGACATAAATAATATTTATTACACAACCACAAGCCTGAGAAATAGGTTGGACTGAAAGGGAGTGACTTGCTTAACACAATCCACTGAGCTACAACAGCTAGTAATGCTTTTGATCCTGTGGTTTCTTTCTAAATGCAACTTGTACTGTGTCATATGAGCAATGGATAAAACTATATAGCCTGTTTCCCAACTCAGGTTGAGAATGCTTGTTAACATACAACCAAAAGTCCCCTGCACATCTCCCCAGCAGGGAAAGACCAATCCCAATGAAAAATCTATGTCTTTTGGAAAAACTTAACTATTATTTGTGATGTATTATTTGAGCATTTCTCAGCATATGGATGTGTAACAGAGCATGTGCAAAAAAGGGCCTACTCATGCCACAAACTACTTTGGAAGAAAAATAAACCTTTCTTGCCCATAAGTGTTTTTCCACCCCACCCCCATATGAATAAAATAATAACTTGCAAAAATTTCCTCAAAATATTTTAGCTTGTACATCATTACTGCCTTGTTTAGAAGCATGCACACACAATCCAGAGTGTGAGTATTCTTCAATAATTCATTAAATTGATTCAAGAAAATAACCCAGTCTTGAATTTTTTTTAAAAAAAACATAGCAATATGCAATCAACAGATTTATTGGAAGCAGAAAAGATCTACAGGAAGCTGGATTTTATTAAACAGAAATATTTTGAAAAAAGCAATGTCGGAAAAATTACTGGCCTGTCAACTGAATGCAGGATAAAAGTATTATTACTATATTTAGAGTGGAACCAAATATATTTCCACAACGGAAGAGATGATGTAACAATTCATGAATTACTGCTGTAGATTATATAGTATGCATATATAGATCCAGAAAAACTGAAGATTATTTGAATATATTGTTAATCACATTTACAAATCAATGAAGGAATGTTTTTAACCATCTTATTACTGAAAACAAGACAAAAGAAGTGATTAAAAACTGAAATGGAACAAATTTTCTGGACTTAACAATATTTCCACTATGTAATGATGACTGGTGAATGATATTATCCATTTAGTTGTGTCTGACTCTTAGCAATTCTTTAGTTTATGTCTCTCCATGTGTTCTGATCTTGTACTACTTCCTTGATTGGTTCTAGGATCTGACTGGTGTCAGCTTTGATGGTATCCAGCTACCATGTTATTTGGTGGCTTAATTTCTTTTTACTGTTAACTCTTCACATCTTGGTCAAACCATTAATGTAGTAATGAATTAAATTCAGGAATGTAAAGAATTTCCTACACCTTGAAATGATTTTATCTCTTTGATTTATAAAGAAGGAAAAGGTTTGAGTTGTACAGAACTGTTTTACTACTGAACATGTTTGAAAACAGAATAAAAAGTTAATTAAATGATATATCTGGCAAGATGAATGTTTAACGTGGCCAAGATTTTTGTTTCTATTTTTATTGTATGCAGAAAAAGCTTTTGATGATTTGCAATGGCACTTCATAGTTGCAACTTTTTCTTTTTAAAAAATGTAACTTGTTGCTCAAATTGTTAAGTGGGATACATAGTACTTACAAAGGAAAAGCCAGGATAATAGTTTTTTTAAAATAGTAATAAGGCATTATACTGAACAAGGATAGTTATAACTTTTTTGAGGACTAGGGTTAACATTTCCTAAAGATATGGAATTCTATATGACAAAAATATAGAGATTAATTTATAAACAACTATCACTGAATTAGAAAACTAGAATAAGAGCTATGTGGCTAGGAAAAATTGCAGCCATTGAAATGAATATTTTACTAAACATTTTACCAAAAGTCAATTTTGCTTTTCCAATTGACTAATGCATATGGAAAACTGTCAAGGTTGGACCACTTTTGAAACATTTAGGTCTTGTTGCTATTCAGCTTGCCAAAGAACTGGGGGGCGGGGAAGGAAGGAAGAATACAGACATGCCAGAGATGGACCGTGAGAACCAAGAACCCACCAAGGTCACTAATTCAGGTGTACAACAGAAAAGTGAACAGTTCTCAAAACAAAAGAATGATTCATAACTGGACAATGTGACCAATTTGGGGAGAAAAAGAAACTATTGTTTAATTATGCAAGCATTGTATGGGAAAAACCAGAGTTAGTTTTGATTCTTCAGTACTGAAATAGTTTGTCCAATAAAGTTGCAATACCTGGTACGATGTCAGAAGCAGAGTGGGTGAAAGAGCAGGACATTAATGCTGATAAGTTAGCAACAGGTTTCCATGCAAAACACCCACAAAAAACAGGAGAGTGAGTGAAGGCTCAAGGAACATGAGTAATTATATTAATCTATGTTTGAGATCTTTACAGGTCTTGCCTTTTTTCCAGGGGGTCAGCAAGTCAAGGTTGAACCATTATATCAAGTGATTGGCATAAACAAGTTGTGGTTCAGTTTTAACAAATCCAGAGCCAGCCTTACTATTAGTGACTATTGCATCAGAAAAGACAAATAATTTTTACTTTCTAATTTCTTTGACAAAACAGGAAAATGGTTGTGGAATTTCTGCTCAGATACTAGGTTTTAATTGATATACAGATTGATTTGAGGCATAAGTGAAAAGGCATGTTTGCTGTTATCCCTTAGGCAATTGAATAGTTTTTACTCCCCCTTGAGGATAATACACATTTGTCTTTGTGCACTTGGCATTGTCAGATGAATAGTCTGTAGAATACATCCTGGTTTTATACAATTCCGAATAACTCATTTCACCATATAGGAAAGTTTTCATACTGGCTATCTTTACTTACTCTATAATTGTTTGATTGTACAATTTTCTGAAAAAAATATATCAATAACCATAACAATTCACTTTTAGTTATCACTTTACAATGATCCAGAGTAGCAGAATGTATCACAAATATAAATTAAAAAATCAAAATATCTCATACTATCAAGGATTAAACATTTGAAAAAGCAGTATTTGCATAGCCCTTTAAAAAAGTTGGAAAGGAGGCTTATTTCAAAATGTAATTTGCAATGAAAAGTGTGGATGATTTGTGGAATAAAGGAAAGAATGCCCAGGGAAAAAAATCAGATAAGATTAGGAATAGTTCCAAATAAATAAATGGATAAAGAGATAAAGGAAGAAACTTAGGAAGAATTCACCCTAATTGTTCAGAGGGTTAAAAGTGGCAGCAGGAAGTTTGTACTTTCAGGCATGCAAGAGTCTGTTAATATACCCTTAAAAATAGAATTTAACAATTTAAATTAACATTACCTTATTTAATCATATTTCCTATCTAATTTACCCAGGCTAATGTGAGTTAAAGTTACTGGAGTAAACTTATAGAGTAGATATAGATTAAGTTTTATTTCCTATTTGTTTCAGTGGTTCACAGTGGTCCCTTTTTGTTCAGAAGGGAACTCCTCCAATTGAGAGGGAGTTCAAGTTTTCATGATCTTAGCTCCTGCACTCCTTTATAGACATTCACCTCCCTTCAAAGCACAGAAGGGCATTCCTTTGGCAGGGTGCAGGAACTCAAAACATCAGGATTTTAGCTCATTTCTGAATCCTGCCAGAGGAGTTTGGCTTGCCTTAGCAAGAAACTCTTGCAGCCAATCCTGAGAGATGGATTCCTCTCACTAGGTGGCAGCAGCTTGAAAGCTTTCCTGCTACCTTCCCCATTGACTTTCTGGAGAAGCTGGTAGACAAGATTGGAAATGGTGGTCACATGATCATGAGGCATTCTGTAATGTGTACAGGTTGCCAAGCAAACAGATCATGATCTCATGACTGCAGGAGTGTGATATAACATTTTGGATAAGTAGAAGTGCTTCACAGGCTATCAAGCATCTTTTATGAGGCCTCTTTAATTCTGAATTGTTGTTAAAGGAATAATTGTAAATTGAGGTCTATATATTCTCCAAATATAGCACTGGGAAAAAGATTTTGGAATCTTGGTAGTGCAAAATAATAATTCTTGAGGCATGACAAGAACTTTCCTGTTGATGGTGGCCAAAAATGGGAAGCATTTTTGTGTGCCGCTTTTAGAAAAGAAATAACAGAAAAACCAAATATTTTTTTTGTGAAAAGGGAATTGTACTTTTTAACAGCTCATTATACTTGCAAAGCAGGCAAACACAAAAGTGTGTTTTCCAAAAGGTAAGCGCTAAACTTTCAAGTGGTTTTCCTTCTCTATTATGTGCATGTTGT